TTTTATATATATATATATATATATATATATATATATATATATATATATATATATATATATATATATATATATATATATATATATATATATATATATATATATATATATATATATATATATATATATATATATATATATAATAAAATAAATAAATAAACAAATACATAAATAAACAAATACATAAATAAAAATATCGACATCAACTAAAATGAAGATGTCAATTTAATATATAAACAATTTGTTAATGAGACTAGTCAAGCCTGTAACAAAGCTATTACTGTATTACAGTTTGTATCAAAGTTATGCAAATGCTCTGCCTTTTGAAATTCTACAATTGTACTTCAGTATTTATTAGAGGGTTCCAAACATATATCTCGTTTTTTGTAGAGCTCTAAAAATGTATAGATGTCTGTGAAGTTCCAAAAAGTTCTAAAAATGTATCAATTTATTTGAAGTTCCATAAATGTATCACTTTATCTGAGAGTTCTAAAATGTATTACAGTTTTTGTAGAATTCTAAAAATGTTTCAATCATTCTGAGAGTTCTAAAAATGTAACATTAGAGCTCTTCATCTGAGCATTCTAAAACTGTATAACACTACTCGTATAACTCTACTGTATGCATCAATATCTGTATATGTCCACAAATGTTTCACTTTATCTGCAGATTTCTAAAAATGTATCAGTATAGCTGTAGAGCTCTAGTTGTATCACTTTATCTGAGCATTCTAAAAATGTATCCCAGCATTTGTAGAGCTCTACAAAAGTATTTATATGTAGATTTTTTTTTTTTACAAATGTATCACTTTACATGTAGAGTTCTACAAATGTATCAGTATACCTGCAGAGCTCTACACTTGTATCACTTTATCTGAGGGTTCTAAAATACATCTCTCAGATTTCCTAGAGCTCTACAAATGCATCAATATCTGTAGATTCCCATAAATGTATCACTACATTTAGAGTTTTAAAAATGTATCACTTTATCTGAGAGTTTTTAAAATGTATTACAGTTTTCGTGAAATTCAAAAAATGTATCATTATACCTGCAGAGCTTTACAGTTGTATCACTTTATCTGAGGGTCCTAAAAAGGATCTCTATTGGTAGAGCTCTACAAATTTATCAGTATCTGTAGATTTCTACAAATGTATCAGATTTATTGGAGAGTTCTAAAAAAATGTATCAGTTTTAGTAAAGTTCCAAAAATCTTATCAATTTATCAGAGTCTTGTAAAGAAGTATAACAGTTGTCATAGAGTTCTAAAAATTGTTCCAATGAAAAAGAATCTCAGTATACGTAGAACTCTAGAAATGTATCAATATCTGTAGATTTCCATAAATGTATCATTTTGTCTGTAGCATTCTAAAAACATATCTGGAAAATATCCGGAACAACTTTACCGTTTTTTTTTTTTTTTTTTTTTTTTTTTTTTTTTTTTAAAGCGATGTTCACACAGGAAAAGATGTTTGGGAAATTTTCTGGATATTTACCGGTATCACTGTATGAAAGGGGCTAATTTAGAGCTCTTTAATTGTATCACTTTTAAAAAAGTACCACAGTGTTTGTAGAGCTCTAAAATCTGTAAAAATCTGTAGATTTCCACAAACGTATCAGCTCATCTGAGATGTCTTCATAGAGTTCCAAAAATGCATCAATCTTTCTGAAAGTCCAAAAATCTGTCACTTTTTCTGAGAGCTCTAAAAAGTATTTGTTCTTTGTAGAGTTTTATAAATGTATCAATATATCGGAGAGTTCTAAAAATATATCAGTTTTAGTAGTTCTAAAAACGTATCGTCTGTAAAGTTTCACTGATGTAAAACAATGTGGAGATTTCTAAAAATGTTTACATAAAATTCAAAATAAAAAATATATATATCACAGTAATTGTAGAGTCCTAAAATCTTTAAATCTCATCTAAGAGTTCTAAAATGTCTCTGAAGTTCCACAAATGTTTCACTTGTTAGCTCTAAAAATGTATCAGTTTTCCTGAAAGATCTGACAATGTATCATTATACCTGCTGAGCTCTACAATTGTAGCACTTTATCTGAAGGTTCTATAAAAACGCATCACAGTATTCGTAGAGTTCTAAAAATGTATCTCTTCTTCTTACAGTTCTAAAAATGCAACGATGTCTGTGAAGTTCCACAAATGTATCCCTTTATCTTTAGAGCTCTCAAATTGTTTCAATATCTGTAGACTTCCACAAATGTTTCACTTCATCTGCAGACTTCTAAAAATATATCAATTAATCTGGGAGTTGTAACAATGTATCATTGTACCTGTAGAGCTTTCCAATCATATCACTTTGGGCTCTATTTTGACGATCCACGCAAAAAGTCTAAAGCGCAGGGCGCAAAAGTATTAAGGGCATGTCCGAATCCAGTTTTGCTATTTTAAGGACATGGCGTATGTTCTAACAGGGTTGAGCTTATTCTCTTAACGAGTTATAGGTGTTTTTTGAGAATAATCTAATCAGAGTCTCATTTCCCATTCCCTTTAAGAATCAGTTGCGTCACGCCATAAGCGCGTTTGCTGTTTACATGTCGGACTTTGTAAGTGTAAAAACTGAACGCTTCACTAGTGAGAAACAGTTAAACAGAGCATCTGCAGCGCGAGAATGAGAGATGAGCCTCCTCATTCTTTACTTTCACTTTCACTCTCGTAGATAGGGAAACGTGTTGTACGCATAGACATCCATTAGCCTATACATAATTCATTTTATTTGTTAAGCGCAAAGATTTGTTTCAAAACTATTTCTAAATTCAGTTCTAATTTCCAGGAAATGAATAAATGAACAATAAAAACGAAGTGTGGTCAAAACAACTAAGCTTTATCCTAATACATATGCTGCGCCCCATATCAAACCTGACAGGTGGACAAATCTAAGCTTGTTTTTAATAAAACAAATATAAATATGGATATAATAAATAATACTGCTAATAATAATAACATTATACAAAAGCAAATTGTTATGAATGAACTGAAAAAGCCTCCAAGATGAAGAAGACATGAAAGCAGTGGTTTTTATATTGATGTAGGCTAGAAAATAATAATTTTTGTAATATTTTAATTAGGGGTGTAACGATTTATCGTTGTACGATTTATTGCGATGCAAAAATGTCTCAATATGCATCGTGGCGTTATGACGATTTGATTACGATATGACGTCCCTTTTCTCATATTAGTTGAGCTGTTTGCATGTGAGCTACGTTTCACCTGCTGTCGCACGTGAGTTCAGATTGCAGCAGCAGTAATGTTAGCAGACCAAGATGAGTGGAGCTGAAATAGAGGATGGCCCATCCTCTCAAAATCAGACGTCTGGCAACATTTCGGTTGTACAGTCATTGCTTTAGACTCGTCTGCTTTTTGACACGCATAATGGGTCAAACATAGCCGAAGTTTTAAAGTCTTCACAGTGATTTACATACTTTGCACTGCGACATGGATACCTCCTAATGGTGTTGAAAGAGTCACATACTGTATTTATAAGGTACAATTTACCCTAAAATATCATTCTGTCTTCATATAATGATGTATTGGCGGCCGCAAAATCACACATGACGTGAGCTCTGCGCTGGACTGTAGACCTGCTTTGATCTGGTCTATTAAACACTCTATTATAGTTTCTCAAAATAGCAACGCGCCAGCAATGCGCCTCAACACGCCTCCTTTTTTAGACCAAAACGCCTATGGGCGCACATATGAGCGCAAATGAATTTGCTATTTAAACAGCATGATAAAAAACGTCAAAACGATTCTTGCTCCAAGCTGAAACTAACAAACAACAATTGCATCGCGCCTTGCACCGCATTGCGCCGGGTGTATGATAGGGCCCTTTATCTGAAGGTTCTATAAAACGTATCTCCCTATTCGTAGAGCTCTAATAATGTATCAATATTTGTATATTCCCACAAATGTTTCACTTACATGTTCTACAAATGTATCCATTTATCTGAGAATTCTAAAGATGTAGCACAGTTTTAATAGAGTTCTAAAAATGCAAATGCAAAGTTCCGTCAATGTTTCACTTTATCTGAGGGTTCTAAAAGTGTATCACATTAGTCATAGTCTCGTAGAGCTCCAAAAAATGTATCAATATCTGTACATTTTCACAATTGTATCACTTTATCTGCAGACTTCTAAAAGTGTATCCATTTATCTGGGAGTTCTAACAATGTATCAATATACCTGCAGAGCTCTTAAATCGTATCACTTTATCTGAGGGGTTTAAAAAACGTATCCCAGTATTCTTAGAGCTCTTACAGTTTTTCTCAGTCTCTTTGGTGCATTTCTCACAACACTATTTACATTTGCACAACAGTTAATGCCTTTCTCAAAACAATTAGTCATTTGTGCACATCCTATAGCAGTTTCTCATTCCTTCCAACACATTGCAAATGCTTTTGGACATGCATCAATTGCTTTCATACAACTCTCTGCTATTTAGAACATCATAATTTGCTTATGTCATGTCAGTCAAAATTAACTAAACCTGTAAATGCTGAATAGTCATTCCATATAAAACTAATAGTCCTTGTTTTATTACTTGAGTCATTACATACAAAAATGTTTAACTAGTTGTCAAAATCTGTCAGCAATTTTATTAAAAAAAAATGTAAATCTTTATTTTCCTGAAAATGTCTTAAAAATTGAACAATTTGATGAATGATTTACAGACCTGTGTATGTTGTAGGTTCAGTTCCAATATGTACTGCAATATTGTCTTCAGTTGTGCACAGCTCTACTCAAAGGGAGCTTATGTTTGTTGTAAATAAGTGTGTGTGTATTCTTTTGCACAGTGCTGTGAATAAATTAGAATTGTAAAGAGCAAATGCAGTAAACATGTGAAACATACATATTCAGTGTCTTGTACTCAGATACCTCACTAAATGCAGTGATGTCTAACTTTACTGTTGTGTTCAAATGGCTGTGCAAATAGTATATAATGCTGTCTTAAACATTTTCAGCAAGTGTCACCAAAATCTGACTTTTTTTGCATTGAAAAAATGTTTAGAGTAAACTGTCATGATGAAAACATGACAGCCATTTGACTATCTTGTTCATAAACAATGCTGTCAGGACTTTTCATTTTAATGACACTGACACTTTGATTGACGTCAATACTTCTACTACTATCTATTTTGAGCTAGTGACGCGCTTTTGCAGGTTATCAGCTAGGTTTTGCAATTTGCACTAACTGTTTTGCAGTTTGCATTAACTGTTGTGCAAATGTAAATAGTGTTGTGAGAAACGCACCAAAGCGTCTGAGAAAAACTGTAAATTGTTTCAATATCTGTAAATGTCCACAAATGTTTCACTTGACATGTATTGACATGTATACATGTATGAGTTCTACAAATGTATCAGCGGCTCTGAAATTACACAAATGTGTCCCTTTATCTTCATACCTCTAAAAATGTATCAATTTATCTGAGAGTTCTAACAATGTATGAGTAAACCTGCAGAGCTCTACAATCACATCACTTTATCTGAAGGTTCTGAAAAAAGTATCTCAGTATTCCTAGAGCTCTACAAATGTATCAATATCTGTAGATTTCCATAAATGTATCACTTTACATGTAGCGTTCTAAAAATGTATCGGTGCATCTGCAAACTTCTAAAAATGTATCAATGGCTTTGAAGTTCCATAAATGTATCACTTTATCTGTAGAGTTCTATAAAGTATCAGTTTTCAGAGAGTTCTATAAATGTATCAGTTTATCTGAGAGTTCTAAAGGTTTTAGTAGAGCTCCACAAATATATCCCTTTATCTGTGGAGTTCTAAAAATGCATCTGAGAGATCTAGAAAGCCACACAGAGTTATCACAAGACCTTCTGGTGCATAAACCCTCAGGAAGTGTCCTAGCAGAGCTCCGGATCTCACCTGAGACTCCACAAAGAGCCGCTGAGAGCGCAGCATGAGTTCCTGAGGGGTGACGCTCTCCTCTTGAGTGGGCTCGCACCACTTCTGCGGAGCGGCTTTGTCCACAATCACGAAGCGGCCGTGCCAGTCTGTCATGGCACAGGCGAAATACTGACCGTCCAGGAAGAGCAGGATCAGCCAGACCACAGCAGGAACGAAACTGGACAGAGACACAGTCCTCCTGCACCACACGCCGCACCTGCATCCCTGAACGATCATCATCAGAGCGAAGGCCATGACTCCGGGAATGATGAAGAACGCAGAGGAAAACAGCCCGTTCCAGGCCGGATTACAGGGACACTCAAACTCCAGCTCCACCAGCTTCTCCAGACCCATCAGGATGAAGCCGAAGGCCACATTGGACACCAGAGGACTGTTGCTCAGCTCATTCTTCAGTCTCGTCAGCCATTGTTGTCGACTTCCCATGCTAACAACACCTGAAAAGTCAGAGGAGAGCTGGTAAAATTCCTCCCAGGAGGTCACTGATGCGAGACGAATTGATCCCAGGGCAAGTTTTTTTTTTTTTTTGCCCCCCGTCCTGACCTTCGCATTCCTATTGGCTCAAAACGGAGGTGGGTGTGTCATCCGTCAGCCCTCTCCAGCGTCTGATTGGCTCCTGGAGGCCTGCAGGTGTGGCTTCCATTTAAATGTTTCTCTCATAGACATGCTTGAGTAAAGTGGAGGGAAAATCGGCGTTGACTGCAGATCTCAACGTGCTGTGTCATCAGAATCATTCTAAACTCACGGGCATTGTTTAGGGTGGCCTTTACTCCTGGGAGCTTTTCTAAAAGAATCATTAGGTATGTAAACACTGCCGCTCCAAGCTTTAGACACAACAGACCGCTCTTGTGTTCCTTATGACCCCTGAAACCTTTTGCTTGAAAACGCCTGAAGCATTTCAGTCTGACCTAATATAATTGTGCGTGCAATCAAATTGCTAGTATATTTTAAGTTGTAACTGGTAGTATACTTATTATTAATATAAAAACTTATATACAGTTGAAGAATTATTAGCCAATTTCTGTTAGTAGGAATGAAGATTTTTTTCAACACATAACTCAATTCTAATAACTGGTTTATTTTCTCTTTGTCATGATGACAGCACATAATATTAGACTAGATATTCTTCAAGACACTAGAATTCAGCTTAAAGTGACATTTAAAGGCTTAACTAGGTTAATTAGGGTAAAGTTAGGGTAATTAGGCAAGTTATTGTATAACAGTGGTTTGTTCTGTAGACCTGTGGTTCCCAAAAATGGTGGTCTCTAATTTATTTTATTAAACTACTAGAATGACCATATTTTATCCATAACCTAGTAAAGTACAAAATAGTAGTTAATAGTAACATTGCTAACATGTTAATAATAAACATTACAAAACCACTATGCAAAGGAAAAGCCATCAGCCTTTTGGTTTACTGTATGTGCACCTTCTGGAGTGATTACGTTATATTAAAGACACAGCAATAGCGTCAGATGCAAACACTTTGATTTTAATGGCACCAGATTAAACTTTCTGACACCTCATGTACAATAAAAATAAATACAAGCCACAAATGAACATGGAGAATTGACATTCTCCTAAATTAAACGATGAATAGACCTGGGCCTTTTGGTGTGTGTGTGCCGTTGTGTGCAAGGTTTATTTATTTATGAGCACCTCAAAGAAAATTGGGGGTCGCAAGTCACTGGCATTGTTATTTTGAGCTGAAATGGTTGGGAACCCCCTGCTATAGACAATCCAAAACAAATATTGCTTAAGCCAGGGGTGCTCAACCCTGTTCCTGGAGATCTACCTTCCTGCAAATTCAGCTCCAACCCTGATCAAACACACCTGCCTGTAATTATCAAGTACCGTTCAGGTCCTATTTATTTAGTTCAGGTGTGTTTGATCAGGGTTGGAGCTGAAATCTGCAGTCTATTAGTTTGTCCAGCAGGTGGCGCTGTGTGAATGTAGTAGAGTGCAGACAGAGGTCATGATATGATTGTGTTCATCTCATACTGTCTTCTCTTAATCCTGACTGACTGCATGTGAATGACGATAACACGCACTGAAATATCCTGTGTTATGCTGGAAGATACTAACAAAAATGTACCACATTTCTATGCCTACCACCACGAAAATAAGTGTTAATACTCTTGATTTGATTTATTTCAAACAGAAATGTCATACATAAAATATATTTTAACAAAAATACATTTCAACATGGCCGAAAGCCTGATGAAGCACCACACGCATCATTCGTCTATTACTTCAACTTATTCTTTTACTCATCTCTTCGTTTTACATGAGACATCCTTTTGGGATCTTTGTCATATTATATGTTTGATTCCATTTGTACATTTACATTTTATAACATAGATCCAAAAAAAATACACACACTCATGTTCTCCTTTTTCAGTCACCGCTATTCATCATTATATTCGTTTAATGATAGACATTTATGCAACTATTTAAATTAATTAATATCCTGACATTGAGAATCTGTTCCAGACTGTTCCATAACTTCACACCACATACAGACACGTTTTTATTTTAAGTTGTCCTTGTTTTTTAACCTCCTAAGGTTTTGTTCTTCTGCATACTCTGCTATGGAGTCTAGTTGATCATGTATATGGTAATAATAATAATAATAGAGTGAGATCAGGGATAGTTAACAGAAAGGCATTGTTATACTTAGAATAAAAATAAAGCATTGAGGCATAAAGCTTTTTAAATGAGTTTTTTTGTTTGTTTCAAAACAATAAATAAATCAGTTTATTGCCTAAAATAAAAGCGAGGGCTATTTTATTGTATGATATATAATGATATATTTTTGTTTTGTTATATTACTATATTGGTTTAGTATTCAAATATCATATATATATATATATATATGTGTGTGTGTGTGCGTGTGTGTGTATAGGTGGGCATAGAATGTTTTTTTTTTTTATCTAAATTAATCTCACTGTATTCTTGGAATTAATCAAGATTAAAATGGCTCATTTGAATTCTGTCGAAGGCATTCAGATTATGTGTGCTACCCAAATAATGACTATATATAAGTCTTTGAGAACGGAGTTTCTCTAGCCAGGTGGCGCATTAGACCAGGGGCTCATCTCCTGTTTCCAAAATGCATCACAAACTGCTGAAGAATCTGTTCTACTGTGATAATTGGTAATGAAAATAAATGATGTTCAATAAGATGTACTTGTAGTGTTTACTCACTGTTTATTCAGGTAAACATGAATGTTGAAATGTAGGCCAACATAAGCTTCAAACAGCCATTTTTGATTACCTTAATCTGACTAAAGTCATCACTGAACAGAAATGGAATTAAGACATGTGGAGAATGCCAGCCCAAGCTCATGAGGAAACGTAAGTATTTTACGCTTTGTCAGTTTAGTGGCTGATTCATACAAATTCGTAGAAGTTCAGTCGTGTGAAAATTTACCATTTTAAAAAGGAGGCGTGGCACCCAACCCCACCCCTAACCCCAACCGTCATTGGGTGATGAGCAAATCGTAGTAAATTGTGTGAATTAGATCGTACGTATTCATCGGAATGAGCCACTAAATCAAAAAGTTACGAATTGCCGTGAGTTTGCTTTGAGTATGCAGATATTAGTGGCATTATTGAAGTAAACACCACAATCAAACTATTACCGTCATATTTTCCGACAAGATCTACACACGTAGCTGTCAATAAAGGACCGCGCACACACACACACACACATTGTGAAATGCAGAAGGTTTTTTTCTTTCTATTTGGCGTGCGTTATTAAATTCCATTACACTCTCACCAGTCCTTACTCCTTATTTGCGTCTAATACCCCAGTTTGTCAAGGGGGCATGCATTAAATGTTCATGAGTGAATGTGAAACTGCCGAACTGCAGTTAAAGTCAGCCAAAGTTACAGGAAAATCTTACATGAAAGCACTTCACGTAAACACCTTCATTATATTATTGTCTATTAAGGAAATAACTAAATTACAGATGTCCATGTTAGCGTAGTCAGTCATTTCTTCGAAGTTAGTAAAAGATCCAGAAGGGCATCCTGCTAATTTGATTCAGAAGGGCACTTTTTGTCAGACGGCTCACCGGTGATGATGTTGCGATGATGTACATCCTTGCTAAAGTCACCATAGCTTGCGTAGAATAGACCCAGCTCCCAACTCAACTTTGAGAATAGATTAACAGCGGTATTTATTTTTTCGTGTGATAATAATTTTGCGTTAACGTCGATAATGGCCTACCACTAATATATATATTTATATATATATATATATATATATATATATATATATATATATATATATATACACACATACATATATACATATACATACATATATATACATATGTATAATGTTTATTATTGTTATAAATATTTTTTTTTTATGTGTTATTCTTATTTGTTTTGTAATATCTTTGACGAAATGCACTACAGCCACACTGACATTTGGGCATGAGTGGTTATATAACAGTAGTAGACTTGAACTGTTTCCGGACAGAAATGTTCTTTGTAAATGTCAAAGCTTGGGCATGTTAGCACACTCATCACACAGTGTTTTTATTGGCTATTTTACATAACTGCTCAGGTTAATCATATGTTATGTTACATGCATGTTGTCACATTTTGTTTTTGATTTTCTGTTATAAAAACACAATCATTAAAAATTACATATTGTATTTAAAAACTACTAGCAGCATGCATTGCTATGTGAATATAGCTACAGTCGTTGAGCATTGTGCTGTACACTAATGTATACAAATGATCTGAATGCAGTTATTATTCTCCAGCACTGGACTCATCAGCTTTCTTATGAGCTCATGTTGAATTTCTTTTATGAACAATTCAAGACTCATTACGAACATCAGTTGTCTTTTTTAATGTTTATTTTAAATGACAGTACTTATCGTAGCCTATTGTCCGAGGTGCATGAAGGATTTGATGAACAGTATCTGCACTGTCTGCAAGTGTATTGGTACGTTTAATGACAAATTTGAATGGGAAAAGTTTTATATATTATATCTTCCATTATTCTGCGCAAGGGTGTAGAGTTAGCAACAGGGATGTAAAGTAACACATTACAATACTCAAATTACTGTAGTTGAGTAGTTTTTTTTCTCAGGGATTATAAAAAATGAGTACTTTGGCTTCCCCTTGAGTACACTTTTAGAGCCGTGTCTGTACTTTTACTCCACTCCTTTCCTTCAACCTGCAGTCACTACTCTATTTGGAAATCAAAGAAAGAAAGAAAGAAAATCAGGAAGAGAGAAAGAAAAGAAGAAAGAAAGGAAGGATGGAAGGAAGAAAGAATAAAAGAAAGAAAAGAAGGCAGGTAGGAAGAAAGAAAGAAAGAAAGAAAGAAAGAAAGAAAGAAAGAAAGAAAGAAAGAAAGAAAGAAAGAAAGAAAGAAAGAGAAAAAAAAGAAGGAAGGATGGAAGGAAGAAATAAAGAATAAAAGAAAGAAAGGAAGGCAGGAAGGAAGAGAGAAAGGAAGGAAGAAAGTAAGAAGGACAGAAAGAAAGGAAGAAAGAGAGAAAGAAAGGAAAACAGAAAGAAAGAAAATCAGGAAGAGAGAAGGAAAAGAAGGAAGAATGGAAGGAAGAAAGAAAGAATAAAAGAGGAAGGAAGAAAGGAAGGCAGGAAGAAAGAAAGAAAAGAAGGAAGAAAGAATAAAAGAAAGAAAAGAAGGAAGAAAGGAAGTAAGAAGGACAGAAAGAAAGGAAGCAAGAAAGGAAAAAATTATGAAAGGAAGGAAGAGAGAAAGAAAAGAAGAAAGGAAGAAAGAAAAAATAAAAGAAAGAAAAGAACAAAGAAAGGAAGGAAGTAAGAAGGACAGAAAGATAGGAAGAAAGAAAGAAAGAAAATCCAATGTACCATTTTTAAGTGCACTAAAAATAGGATTTTCATTGGATTTGCTCATTTTTTAGTAAACAATAGCAAACTAATTATTTAGGCAGGGTCAGTTGGCGTTTCTGTGTGGAGTTTGCATGTTCTCCCCGTGTTGGTGTGGGTTTCCTCTGGGTGCTCCGGTTTCCCCCACAGTCCAAGCACATGCGCTATAGGGGAATTGATAAAGAAAATTGGCCGTAGTGTATGAGTGTGTGTGTGGGTGTTTCCCATTAATGTGTTGCAGCTGGAAGGGCATCTGCTGCGTAAAAACATATGCTGCATAAGTTGGCGGTTCATTCTGCTGTGGCGACCCCTGATTAATAAAGGGACTAAGCTGAAACTAAAATGAATTAATTACTGAATTTAATTTGTTTATTTTATTTCAAACCATTTAAACTGTTTGCATTTTTTTCAGTGTTCCTCCACCTTTTCCAGAGGTCTGCATTCATTCCTCTGCAGAGAAAACTCATGTTAAAAAAATGAGATCGCCAGCTATATCAAAAGCCCTTGAATGCTGCGTGTTGTAATGTGACCTTTTTTATTTCACATGCAGGCTGAATGGCGCTCAGCTCCAGTGCGCAGGCGCTGCGCAGAGCCGATGCGCCGCAGGCACCGACAGCTGATGATGCGCGCGTAAGAGCCGCGGGTTTCGCGCACTGACAGCTGAAGGTTTTCCGCGATGACGGACACTCGGATGGCCCAGCAGCATCAGCATCATCAACATCAGCAGCAGCATCAGCATCCCTGAGCGCCGGCGGCAGCAGCATCCTCTCCTCATCCGTCCTCCATGCAGCAGAACCGCGCATCTCCTATCGCGTTTCTCGCCGTGCGCCAGCGCTCCTCCTCCGCCATCCTCCGCCGCTGAAGCCGCTCCGCGTCCACCCTCCGCCCGCAGAGCACCGGCTCTCCTCCCGCGGGGTGATGATGCTGTCCTACAGCGGGATACTCGCGCTGTTTCTGGTCCACGGGAACGTGATGCTCCCGTACGTCTCCTCTCAGAACGGTAAGATGACGGGACGGGATCTCTGTGTGTGTATGTGTGTGTGTGTGTACGTGTGTGTGTGTGTGTAATCTGCTTTAGAGGTCGATGCCATCTTTATGATGACAGACACCCCGCTGCATTCCAGTCCCGTCGGATGCGTGGAGCGCGGATTTTGCGCGTGATCGCGACAGGAATTGGGGGATTATTTGATCGTGTTTCTCTGCTGTATAAATCAGCGCATGTTTGAATATTGCACCTTCATGAGTGCTGTTTGCGAGGAGTGTTTTCCTTCAGCTCAGAGTCTCCAGAGTAATCCGTGTTGTTTACACTCATCCTTCTGACATTCACATCCTTACACCTCCCGCGTTTGAGCAGAAACCCTGAGCATTACATAATGGCCTGATGTGGATGTAGTGAACACACTGACAGACAAAAATACTTTTTTATGAGTCCGTTTGTGAACACTTCTGTTGGAACAAATAGTGTTTGTGCATTCAATTGATTATAGCACCTTAGGGTATTCATTTAAGTGTGTACACGGGTCCAAGTTTGGACTATTTATTCCATATCATGTATGAAGTCAAGGTGGGGTGGAGAAATCTTATTTATTCATTCATTCATTTTTTTTCGGCTTAGTCCCTTTATTAATCAGGGGGTGCCACAGCGGAATGAACCGCCAACTTATCCAGCACATGTTTTATGCAGCTGATGCCCTTCCAGCCACTCTTGCATTAACACACACACACACACACACTACGGCCAATTTAGCTTAATCAATTCCCCTATAGCGCATGTGTTTGGACTGTGAGGGAAACCAGAGCACCCAGATGAAACCCATGCCAACAGTGGGGAGAACGTGCAAACTCCACACAGAAATGCCAACTGACCTAGCCAGGACTCGAACCAGCGACCTTCCTGCTGTGAGGCGATCGTGCTACCCCCTGTGCCACCGTGACCCTCACTATTTTTACAAAATTCAATTTGAAGAGATTTCATGCGAGAATGTAGTCATCTTAATCTTAAATCTGCAGTTCATTTAGCGTGAAGATAGCGTGTCTTTCGAAATTTGCATTGTGCATCAGCGGGAGCTTCGCGCTCACCTACCCCGACCGAGAGCAGCTTTAAGTCGGCCAATCCATCTCAGATCTGCCACTGGATCCCATCACTTGATTAGTGCTAAACATGGTATATAAACATTCATCTTGTGTATAACCAATGTGGCGTAAAAAGCAAGAAAGTCGCTGGTTCGAGCCTCAGCTGGGTCAGTTGGCATTTCTGTGTGGAGTTTGCATGTTCTCCCTGTGTTCGTGTGGGTTTCCTGCGGGTGCCAAGACAAGTCCAAAGACATGTGATATAGGGGAATTGGGTAAGCTAAATTGTCCGTAGTTTATGAGTGAATCAGTGTGTATGGGTGTTTCCCTGTACTGGGTTGCAGCTTGAAGGGCATCCGCTGCGTAAAACATATGCTGGATAAGTTGGCGGTTCATTCCACTGTGGCGACCCCTGATAATAAAGGGACTAAGCCGAAAAGAAAATGAATGAATGGGTGTTTCCCAGTGTTGGGTTGCGGCTGGAAGGGCATCCGCTGCGTAAAACATATGCTGGATAAGTTGGCGGGTTATTCCACAGTGGCGACCCCTGATAATAAAGGGACTAAGTCGAAAAGAAAATGAATGAGTGGGTGTTTCCCAGTGTTGGGTTGCAGCTTAAAGGGCATCCGCTGCATAAAACATATGCTGGATAAGTTGGCGGTTCATTCCACTGTGGTGACCCCTGATAATAAAGGGACTAAGTCGAAAAGAAAATGAATGAGTGGGTGTTTCCCAGTGTTGGGTTGCAGCTTAAAGGGCATCCGCTGCATAAAACATATGCTGGATAAGTTGGCGGTTCATTCCACTGTGGTGACCCCTGATTTATAAAGGGACTAAGTTGAAAAGAAAATGAATATTGAGCAAATATTGTTTGTTGACTAAAATCTGTGCGTATGTGTCTTGTGACTATACTTATGTCATTGAATCTGATATTTGAGTCTGTTTTGTAGCCAATTTCACTTCGTTTACTCTGATATATTGGTTATTACTAGGTCCACACGGAATCTGCGCACGCAGAATCCTGCAGATTTTCAGCCCATCATTGATTCTGTTTATTTACTTCTGTAAATGTGTCTAAATGTATATTTATTCAGTTTTTAAATTAATTTTCAGTAATATTATTGTCTAATATGAAAATATTCATATGATTTGTTTACAATATACTTTGTAAAGTAATATTAAATATTAAATGAGAGACTTGCTTTGTTTACCAAATGAAGTGGATCTAATTGGATTTTTTATTTATTATTTTTTATTTAATATATTAAGGTTTTAGTCCAAAATCATTCCGCATAAATCTGCAGATTTTTAACAAAATTCTGCACAGAAATAGCAAGTAATGTCAGATTCCGTCTGATTACCTAAACTACTAATAATATGTTTCAGACCCAAAACATGTGACCAAAGTTATTCAGTTTAAAAGCAAAGCTAAAAAATACAAAGGAAATAGATGAAAACTTTTGCCTGTCTAGAAATAAATAAAAAATTCTCAAAAAAAAAAAAAAATTCTCTCGTTATTTTGGATTATAGCAAATGTAAATAATTTAGGTAAACCTAAAGGAGTAAATGTTTAGTACAATTTACCAGCAGAATTTTTTTTTAAATGTTTATTTTTTTTATAGTGTATGTAAGCTTACACCTAACATTTTCAAGAGGAACACTTTTGTACATATTAGGTACCAATATATACCCTTGAGGTATTAATATGGACCTTTTTTGTACAAATTTGTACATTTTGAAAAGGTGCCACCCCAGTGACAGCTCATGTACCTTTATTTCAGATATGTTGCCTAATCACACTTTTGCTGACTTATAATTAATAATTAGACTATAAATAAACATAAGAATCAAACAATGACTATGTTGGATCTGTTAGTTGGTGTAGTAACTAGTGCAGAAGCAGGTTGAGGTGAAGTGGAAAGCGGTGTGTTTGTGAGCAGTAAGTAATGAGTGTGTGTCCCTGAAGGCTCGTCTCTGACTTTACATTGTGGAGAGTCACAGCTGTGACCAGGAGAGGGCACATACATCACCTGCAGACAAACAAGGCCAGGGTATTCCCTCCTCAGACTGCAAAAAAAGCAAACACACACACACACACACAGAGAAAGCATACGTCAGTTTGGTGTCCGAGAGCCTGGTTTTGTGCAGCGCGTCACAGAAAAGCATCTGCTGAATGCAAATATGAAGCAGATTCTGACAGCACAGATGTCAGAGTGAAAAAAGAAACCGTCATCTAGAAATAAACTTGCCACAACATTTAATAGTGAATGTAGAAGAATCAGCTTATGATTATGACCATAAATAGAGGTAATGACCACAAATGCATGTAAACAGTTTATAAACATGATGAGATTTTGGGAAACCTGTTTGATAATGCCATTATAAATGTTTAGTTCTGGCACTACCTTTTTTTTAATAGTGAATGTAGAAGAATTACCTTTAATAATCACAAATGCATGTAAATACTGTATACACTCGCTGGCCACTTTATTAGGTACACCTTATTAGTACCTGGTTGGACCCCCTTTTGCCTTCAGAGCTGCCTTAATCATTCATGGCAGAGTTTCTGCTACTGGAAATATTCCTCAGAGATTTTGCTCCATATTGACATGATAGCATCACACAGTTGCTGCAGATTTGTCAGCTGCACATCCATGATGCCAATCTCCCGTTCCACCACATCCCAAAGGTGCTCTATTGGATTGGGCTCTGGTGACTGTGGAGGCCATTTAAGCACAGTGAACTCATCGTCATGTTCAAGAAACCAGTCTGAGATGATTGAGCTTTATGACATTATATACAGTTTATATACAATATAACAAAATGTATAGATGATTGTTTTTACAAATGTAAGCAAAATATATAATTCCAATTCTTAAAAGGAATGAATGCCACATATATTAGATTATTTAAATAGTTTATGTACAGTTGAAGACAATCATTATCAGCTCCTGTCAAATTCGTATGCTTTTTTCGCATATATCTTAATTGAGGTTAAACAGTTCAAAGATTTATTTCCCCTGCAGTTTCTTTTATTATGACTGAAAAAATACAATTATTAAAAAATAAAATAAAAATCCTTAGTAAAAACTGCTATTATTAGTCCTTTTAAGAATTAATTTTTTCTATTGGCTCCAAAACAAACACTGTTGTTCAATAGCATGCCTATCCTAACCTAATTAATCTAGTGAAGCCTTTAAATGTCACTTTCAGCTGAATACTAGTATCTTGAAGAATATCTAGTCTAATATTACGTGCTGTCATCATGGCAAAGATTTTTAAAAAATAGTTAATATGTTAAGGAATGTGTTTTAAAAATATTATCTCCATCCCTTTCTACACTTTTGCAACCAAGTGGACCAAACAGCACAATATAATTTAAATAAAACATAAAGGTTAAACAGTAAATTACTTTTGATATTGTATGTAAATAAATATACTCAATATTATCTCTTTTTTATTTTTACTTATTTATTATTAATATTATTTTTTATTTACTTATTTATTATTGTTATTATTTTTATTATTATAATTATTATTGTTATTATTATTATTATTTTCTTACTGTAATATTTTTAAGTAAATCTATCTATCAATCTATTCTAGGCCTGTCACCATATCTATATTTTTTTATGATATAATGCACCAAAATATATCACGAGAAACAATATTATTGTCATTTTAAGACCATTTCATGCCACTCATTACATAATGCCAGAATGACAATATAATATCATCACAATGCGAGTACACTCTTCCAGCGAACACATCATATTTTATTCTTAATATTTCATTTAATTATAGTTTTATTAATATAGAATTGGATTCAGAATGTGAAATGCATATCCTAAGTAAATGATAATAAATGTTAACACAAAAGTGCAAGGTTAAAAGTAACAGAGGCTGTGATATCTGCTGCCAGATCGATTT